TGCACGCTCCCAATCTAGGTAGTCTTCTATGTGTATTCGCCCTTCAAAAAATGGGATATCCAATTTGACACGAAACTCACCATGATGGTTCTGGTATTGTCCCCGATGACGGTGACGATCGTGATATCGAAACTGATCTTCATCGCCGGAATCGATTCCGTCCCGCCGAGGCCTCGAATCAATCTCATCATCGGAATCGATAATCTCCGCAGAGATATTCCTCGGTAATCTGGGAAATCCCACTGGATCCGGCGGGATTCTTACTGGAGCCGCAGGAGGTCTGTGCGTCATATTAGCAGTGTGAGATTGAAGTAATGTGCCTACCGAAGTTTTGAGATCCATCATCTCATTGCGTAAATCAGTAGAGAGGCGGACGAAATCCGCTCGAAGGTCACTGAGTTGCCGTATGAAGCTAGCTTGCGCTGCCCACAAGGCTTCCACACTCCGATCGTCGTCGTGAGATTTGCGGGACGTTTCTGCGGCCATTGCTACAATGCCAGCTCTGATACCAACTGACGGACTCACCCGTTACCCGCGAGGAGGACGTCTGGTTCCGCCGATCACCGAGCGAAGGACCTGCAAGAAAATGAAGGAAGAACAGGCAATAGAACAGTAATTTTGGGTAGAAGTATATTTCTTGTATTCCCTGTAGTGAGCTGTAAAAATACTTATATAGCAGCCACTACTTCTGCCAATAACGAACTTAGGGAAAAGAAGGGAAATAAAGCAGTAACTAGGTAGTGGGTGTGTGTGTAACATTATTGTGTACTAAGAGTAAAACAGCCAGTGTGGCTGAGAGCCTGTAGCGGTTTATGGTCCCCATCAGTTGAGTAAAAGAGAGAATTTATTTGGACAACGATAGCTAGCCAAATTTTACATCACAATTGAAACAAAGTCCTTTATCATGGTGAAACTAAATTTCTGTTGGTGATAGTTTATGAATTAGAAGATGTGTGGGTTTAGAAATAATGTGATTTGTTGTTAAAGAGGTAAAGCCAGATTGGGTAATTGAAGGGGAATATTTAGATGTTGGTTTCAAATTAGATAGTGGAACAATATGTGTATGATTTGTGGGATTTGAAAAAGGTTTTTGCCAAGACTATGATCATATAGAAAGAAAAATCTTTAATTTTAGATTCATGGTGTCTAGCCAATGCCATTATATCCAAAAGTGAGGTAGGTTTTGCAATTAAAAGTTTGTGACATTTCTTGCTTAAGGCCAGAAATAAAATAACCAATGAGAGTGGATTCAGACAGATGATGGACATTAAAGGCAAGGTTTTTTAAGGCAATTTGGTATTCCAGAATAGAGTTTTGTTTAGTTAATTTGGAAAGAGTGCCATGTAAATCATCGTAGATAGAAATCCAAATCTTTGTTGTAAAGAAACCATAAAATCAATCTAAGAAAGTGGTGGCTAGGCCTTCAAATTGAAAGGAAGCAATGCGTACACAATGACACTCAAGCGTGTTGTGAAAATCAAAGTATTTATGAGATTAATATCTAAGTTTCGGTGCGACGGAGTCCAATTTTCATTGATTTAATAATAAAAATTCGGAGGTGATAGCTGGGTTTGTAGAGAATGAATTCGGCTAGCGGAACCAAGAATGCCAACCGAAGAAAGGTGTTCGATCTTGATGGGAAAAAGAATCTGAGCGGTCATTGTACAAATTATCCAAAGGTTCATCAACGGAATCCATGAAAGCATGTAATTGTTGTAAAGATGTGCTGCATTGGATGCAAACTGGACATCAGCCTTTTGGAGAGACATGTGTATTTCAGAATATTCCAATTTCTAATTGGTTTGCAAGGTTAGAATAGCTTCGGCTAAATCAGCATTTTTCATGATGGGTTAAGGAGTAGGAGAAATGGCAAGAAGCGGTTCTTGATAATGAGTAATTATTACGTCCGGTCAAATCCGAACGTATCCGAATGTATACCGAGTAATAACGAGTTTCAGGTGACGTGGCACGTGGTTATTGGCCTATGAACGCGTTCGGTGACCGGACGTAATAATTGCTCCTTAGAGAAAAATAAACTAATAAAAAACTATAATTGGAAAATAGAAAACAATAAAGCCAAAGGAACCTATAACCTGATGTATGCTTGGATCGGAGGACAGCTGAAAATTTTTGTAATAGAAGTTTGGTGAGTTTCATTAATAAATATAATATTAGTTTCCTTTGCAAATTGATTGTTAGTAATGTAATCATTAATAAATATAACAATAATTGCAGTACAAAGTTTGTTGATAAAAAAAACAGTGAGAGAGTATATTTTTTATGTAATGTGGCTCCAGGTAGTAAATACAATAATTTGTAAATTATATTAAATAATAATATCCTTTAAAATTCTAATGTAAACAATATATTCTTTTGTTCTATCAAATATTATTTAGAATAATTAAATGCTATTCCTTACTTATATATAGCATAACAAACCAGTTAATTTTTTTTAACTACCAAATATATTTTTACTTTCTTTGAAAATGAAAACAAAAAAAAGTAAAAATATAATAAAATCTAAACAATCCAATGTTTGATAGCACACCTACTCACTAAGCCGACTCAGCCACGTGACTCCAACGAACTCACCTGCTCCAGCCATCTCCACATTCCCTGCTATGCCAGACTGCCTCTAACGGCTTACAACAGACCATCATAGCATTACACTTTAGCTATATATTAACACCTTGTAACAGTAAACCTTAAGCAAATTAATGCAATAGCATTCTCTCTGTTAGTCTCGTCTCGTTCCTTCTCCTCTTCCAAAACACTTATGCAGGTATTTCTTCTTGGTATCAGAGCACCAAGCTTCATCGCCAATGGCCGATCAAGATTCATCCGCCACAGCAGCACCGCCCTCAGCTGCAACTCCACCAGCTTCATCGCTTTCCGCTGCCATGACAGAATTCGTAATACCGCCTCCTCTTAAATTCTTAATGTCCAACCTCAAATCCATCGTCAATCTTCAGCTCAACAGTGAGAACTATGCCATCTGGAGCCGTTTGTTGACCTCGTTTTTGGCTCGAGCGTGCTCGAGCACTCTCAGCCAATCTAATTGAACCCCGTCGAGCTCAATTCGAGCTCGAATCGCCCCGACTCGAGCTGAATCGCACTCGAGCGTGTTTAATTAGACTCGATCAGTTTGGTTTCGTCGCGTCGTACTTGATTTAATTTGAGTTGAGCTTTATTTTGGACCTATTTTTGCACAATTAATTTTGTTGCGCCGGTTCGAACCCAAATTGGTTTGGATCGAGTCAATTTCAGGCCCAAATCTGACCCGACCTTAGCTGAATGTGATTTGATTCAGCTCAATTTGATCTGCACAGGTTACTTCTCCATTCTCTCTTGTTCATTCCGATGTATGGGGGCCTTCTCCCATTACATCTATGAATGGTTATAAATATTTCATTACATTCATTGATACGCACACCAGATTTTGCTGGATATATCTAATGAGCTCTAAATCTAAAACTTTCTCTAAATTTCTACAATTCCATAAAATGGTAACTAACAAATTTCAACACCACATCACTAACTTCCGCTCCGACAACGATGGCGAATTCATAAATCACTCATTCCTGAAATTCTTCACCGAAAACGGCATTACTCATCAACTTACCTGCCATTACAAACCGGAACAAAATGGCCTCACCAAACAGAAAAATCGCCACCTCATTGAGACCACATGCACCCTTCTTCAAGCAGCCCACCTACCACTACATTTTTGGGCTGAAGCCCTCCTCACTTCCAACTACCTAATCAACCGTTTACCCACCCGAGCTTACAATTATCAAATCCCCTTTCAACTCATCCACGGCCTTTTACCTACCTATGATCACCTTAGAACGTTCGGGTGTCTCTGCTTACCATGGCTCCGCCCCTTAACTTCAAACAAACTTCAACCACGTTCCCAAGAGTGCATATTCCTTGGCTACTCCTCATACCACAAGGGCTATCGCTGTTACAACCTATCCACCAATAAGATACACATATCTCGCCATGTCGTTTTTCATGAACATATCTTTCCATTTCAAACAAACTCGCTACCATCTCAATCTACCATCACAACGCCTCCTTCCCCTCTACTCATGCTCATACCCACCTCCACAGTCAACTCACTCCTCCCCAATAATCCAAATCCATCCACCTTATCACTTCCAAATACTACATCACACTCTCAATCCACTTCTCCCACAATCATGTCCCACTTCCATCCAACTCACCCACTTTCTCTACCTCACCTCAACCTCCATCCCTCCCACCATCATCCACCTATTCTCCTATACATCACCCCATGCTCACCCGTTACAAAACGGGTCACTTAAAACCAAAAACCATTCTCGATCTTTCAACTCTTACTCAAACTGCTCACACTCCCTCCACCTTCCGCCAGGCTACTCTCCTACCTCATTGGCAAGCAGCGATGGCCAAGGAATTCAATGCTCTCCAACTTCAGAAAACATGGTCCTTAATCCCAACTCCACCTAACACACCAATCCTCGGGTGCAGCTGGACATACAAGACCAAATCACATCCAGATGGCACCGTAGCAAATCACAAAGCTCGGCTTGTAGCACAAGGCTTTGCTCAAGAATACGAGATCAACTACAATGAGACCTTCAGTCCAGTCGCCAAGATGCCTACCATCCGAATTCTTCTCATTGTTGCTTTCCAACACGAATGGCCAGTACCAACAGTTCGACATTTCCAATGCATTTCTACATGGCGACTTCCATGAAGACGTGTACATGAAGTAGCCTCCTGCCTTCATCGATCCAGCTCACCTGAACCACGTTTGCAAGCTCCACAAGTCCCTATATGGCCTTAAACAGGCCCCACGCTAGTGGTTCAACAAGTTCACTTCAACACTGCTAATATTCAGCTTTGTTTTCAGCAAATCTGACCCCTCCCTTCTCATATACAACCGAGGGACTACACTGCTTTATCTACTCATTTACGTAGATGACCTGCTCATTTTAGGAAACAACTCAGATAGCATGCGGCGTCTCCTACAACAACTACAAGCTGCATTCAACCTAAAACAGCTCGGCTCCGTCAATACGTTCATCGGCATTCAGATTCAACGGACGCCCAATGGCCTGTTTCTTCATCAAGCACCTTATGCACGAGATCTCCTGCAATCTGCTGGCTTCTCCTCGTGCAATCCTGCACTCACTCCGCTGGCGACCAAATCAGCAACCAGTTCACTTCCTGATCAACCTCTTGCTGATCCAAACACGTATAGGAAATCGCAGGAGCTCTCCAATATCTCACCATTACAAGACCCGACATCGCCTTTGTCACAAATCATATTTGTCAGCATATGCACCACCCCACAAATCAAAACTATCAAACTCTCAAACGTCTGCTTCGTTACATCAAAGGAACACAACACTACAGACTTCCATTCATCAAAGGCAATATCAAACTCAAAACATTCGTGGATGCTGACTGGGCCGCCGATAGAACCGACCGAAAGTCTATCACGGGGTTCTGCTCCTTCCTCGGTCCGAACTTGATCTCCTGGCAAGTTAAGAAACAGGTCACCGTCTCCAAATCATCCACCGAAGTCGAGTATCACGCCTTATCCTCTGCTACTTCAGAAGTCATCTGGCTACGCCGACTTTTAGCAGAACTCAACCTACCACAGCTCCAGCCGACGGCAATTCACTGCAACAACCACTACAGGAAAACCCGTTATTACCGGCGGACACAATCCGCCGGAAAACATAGATAATCCGACGGAATCATACGTTTCCGTCGGACTTTTCTGCGGAAATTCATACGCCGGTTTTGGCCGCGTCGATAAATTATTTCCGGCGCGAAATTGGCGTCTGAAATTTTTCCAGCGCATGATCCGACGAATTACCGGCGAAAAAACGGATCGTTTTCGATGTTGAAAAACACCTTAATTCCGGCGTCATATCCGCCGGAACAGTTGACGCAAACCTTACGTCGAACAAATCCGCCGGTGACTGCGCCGTTTATTACCGTCCAAAAGTTTCCGCCGGAAAATCCGCCGGTATTCGCGTGTTTTCCCGTAGTGAACACATCCACGCTCGCACTGGCGAGCAACCCTGTCTTCCATGCTCGCACCAAGCACATCGAAATTGATTATCACTTCATCAGTGAGCACTTTAAGAATAACGTCGTTGCCCTGCATCATGTCAACTCCGTTGATCAGCCAACTGACATTTTAACTAAGGCTCTATCCCTAGCTCGGTTTCACAAGCTTCGCACCAATCTGACCGTCACACCATCGGATGCTCCGATTGCGGGGGGCTGATAGCACACCTACTCACTGAGCCGACTGAGCCATGTGACTCCAACGAACTCCCCTGCTCCAGCCGTCTCCACATTCCCTGCTATGCCAGACTGCCTCTAACGGCTTACAACAGACCATCATAGCATTACACTTTAGCTATATATTAACACCTTGTAACAGTAAAACTTTAAGCAAATTAATGCAATAGCATTCTCTCTGTTAGTCTCGTCTCGTTCCTTCTCCTCTTCCAAAACACTTTTGCAGGTATTTCTTCTATGTTAACCAAAATTCTTGGGTTCACCCGTATACTTGCAAAACACTTCAGAATCTGCAGCAGTGTATAGTCTTCATAAGATGCATCCTAAATCTATACTACGATCTTATAAGCAGCTTGAGTTTCCACCCATATCAAATTTTGACCTTTCATTTTATTTCTTCAAATATTATATTGTCAGTTCATTATATTATAAATAATTAACAAATAATATATACTAATCTATATTTCTTCAAATTTTGACCTTTCATTTTATTTCTTCAAATAATATATTCTAATCTATACTTTAGCATTTAATTCCTATTATTATATTAATTATTTTATTATTTTCAAAATAACTAGTTTAATCCAAATTAATCTAAAATTTAATTAAAGCACTAAAGGTGGCACCATTTCAATTTCAATCTAGGTGGGCATGCCTTTATTGCCATTTAAAGTATAAAATTTATGATTTTCTTTTAATGTAATAAATTGTAGGTTATAACAATGAATCCTCCCATCTTCTTTGCCTCTTAGTCTCCTTCATGCATTTGTCATCTCTTCAACTATCGTAACATTTTCTCTTCAACTTCTAATTGGCTTCTTCGCACAAAAGATGAGGCATTGAGGCTCCTTCTCAACCCCCATTCTTCTTGTCATCATTAATATTTATCTGTTGTGCATAAGAGTAGATAGGGTTGTCGCATAGCTGATCCGAGGAACCAAATGGGCTCAAGCCATTCTGCCTAGCCAGGCACCATCAAACTAGATTCCAAAGACTACTATCAGTGACAAAGAGCAATGAATCCTCTTCTTAAATTGAGTTTGAACTGAAATGGAGGATCAATTAAGGTGACAAACAATTCAATTGAAGATCTCATGAAGGTTATGTTTGTGAGTCTACTTTCTGTTTAATATAAGTTTTCCTTTTAGAGACTGATTTTACAAAATTTTACGGAAAAAGCTCATCTTTGAAAGTTAAATTGTTCGATTGAGCTTTAAGAAGAAGATGGATCTAAGCGTTTTGGTCCTGTGCTATCATTTGAAGTATATATATTTGTTGTAATAAATGGCAACTCCATCCACATAGTGTTCAAGATTGATAAAGATAAGTTGTGATGAAATATCTTAATTGTTAACTAAAATAGACGGGTTAATATTATCAAAATGTTATAGAAACCATAAGCTCAAGATAAGGCTGAAAGCGAATTAGTAAAAGAATAATAAGATATTTGTTTAAAACAAATTATTTCATTTTTTTTAATAATCAAAATATAATTTTAAAGTTCTGAACAGTGACATATATTCATGTTTTTCTATTAATAAATAAATTGTTAAATTTGATAAAATATTTCTTTAATTATGATTTATTTTTTAAATTTGTTTTATGTTATTATACCATTTTTTATGTTTTGTGGGCTGTAAATGTTTTTTTATTTAGATATGTTGATAATATTGAGCAAATAATTAAATGGATGGATTAAAAATTTAATGACTTGTAATTATTAGATGGCTTCTTGTTTTCCTTTATTTCTATATATACCCTGCTGTACATATTGCTTTAGAGATATACAGAATTATATTTTTCTTTTCCTAGCTCTGTTCTGTACGTTCCACTTCATCTTCTTTATTCCTGTCATGGTATCAGAGCCAAGACGGCTCCATGGCTGATCAAGAATCAGCTGTTTCGCCCACCTCCGCCCCTGGCCTTTCCTCCAGCAATACTTCCGACTACACTGTTCCGGCGCCCTTGAAGTTTCTGATTTCCAACCTCAAGACACTCGTTCCTAACTCTCTGTCTCCCGAAAATTATCACATATGGCGTATCCAGATCTTGCAGCATTTCTCGGCGAATGGTTTCGCCGGCTTCCTGACCGGAACCGCTTCTTGTCCTACCGATCAATCCAGTGAAGCCTTCTTCACCTGGACCCTGATCGACCGAAATCTGATTTCGGCGCTGTTTTCTACAATCTCTCATTCTATTCTCCCTTATGTTTTGACGGCCTCAACAGCGCATGACGTTTGGCAAATTCTTGAACGAAGGATGCAACCCAACATTCGCTCTCGAGTTATACAACTCAAGAACGAGCTGCATAACATCCAGATGAACAACTCCTCTATGCAACAATATCTGATGCAGATCAAGAACCTAGTCGACAACATCGCCGTGTCGGGTTCTCAAATTGACACAGAAGATATTATCATTTACATCTTGAATGGCCTTCCATCCTCCTATAACTCGTTCAAAACCTCTATCCGAACATCTTTACACCCTATTGATCTCGATACACTTTACTCGTTGCTATGCAGCGAGGAAATTGCAATGCAACGAGACCATCAGAAAGAAGTTAGCGCAACCACGGACAATCCTGCGTTTTAGACGTCTCGGACTAGCTCCAATCGCAGCAATGGTGCAAATCGCAACTTCAAGAATCGGAAGAATGAATCTCGTTCAGCTTCTGATTACGTTCCTCCTTCACATCCAAACCAGCCCACATCCAAAACTGATCGTCCAACATGTCAAATCTGTGGCAAACCAGGCCACATTGCGCTGAATTGTTGGCACCGGCACAATCCAAAATATGCCCCGACCAATTCAGCTCCTCAACGAGCACTGCTTTCTCAACAAAATTCGGTCTCTACAAAGGACTGGATCCTTGATTCAGGTGCATCCAGTCACTTGACACCCGACTTTAGCAACCTTCAACAAGGTACCAGCTACCAAGGTACGGACACCATTTCCACTGCCAATGGAGCGTCTCTTCCCATACAGCATTCCGGTCAAGGTCTTCTTCCCATTCCCGACTCGGCTCGTAAGCTTCACTTACGCAATCTACTTCATGTTCCTACTCTTACTCATAATCTTATCTCTATTTCAAAACTAACCAAAGACAATAAAGTCTCTATTTCGTTTGACGAACATGGCTTTGTTATAAAGGATGGTCAGGATCACCGCCCGCTCCTTCTTGGTCAACTACATAATGGCCTCTACCGTCTACAGAACGTGTCACCGGACCGACCTTCCGCTCATCTCGCTCGGCAGACATCAACCCTCCTCTGGCATGCAAGGCTGGGTCACCCCCATCCAGACGTTCTCCGGAAACTTCATCCGCTGATTCCGTCACTAGATCTTGATACCAATAATTTTCATTGCAAATCTTGTAGCATGGCTAAATGCCATAAACTCCCTTTTAATAAACGAATATCTAGTTCCTCGCAAGCTTTTCAATTGATTCATTCAGATGTTTGGGGCCCCGCTCCCCTTCAATCGTTAAACGGATTTAAATACTATGTAATCTTTGTTGACGATTTCTCAAAATTTACGTGGCTCTACCTGATGCATTCTAAGTGCGAAACTTTTTCTAAATTTACTCACTTCTATGCTCTCGTTAAAAATATCTTTAATACTACACCTAAAGTGTTCAGATCAGATGGCGGCGGAGAATTCTGTAGCACTCAGTTCAAGTCGTTTCTCTCAGCACACGGCATTCTTCATCAAACAAGCTGTCCGCACACTCCCGAGCAGAATGGAGTCGCCGAACGGAAACACCGCCACCTCTTGGAATTAACCCGGTCTCTACTCCAGGATGCTCATCTACCCAAACAGTTCTGGTCCGAAGCAGTCACTGCAGCAACCTATCTGGTTAACAGGCTTCCGTCCAAGGCCAACTCAAACCAAATCCCATATCAAATCATTCACGGCGTCGCACCCACCTATGATCATCTCAGAATTTTTGGCTGCTTATGTTATCCATGGCTTCGCCCGTACACCGCCGACAAACTTTCACCTCGCTCTCAACCGTGCATCTTTCTCGGTTACTCATCGCACCAAAAAGGCTATAAGTATTTTAATACTAGCACAAACAAAATTCAGATTTCTCGTCACGTAACATTTAATGAACACATTTTTCCTTACATGTCATCAACTGCTAACCACTCCTCTGCTTCAGAAATACCATCTCAGTTTATCTCACCGCTCCTTACCACTCCTACGTCCATCTCGCACAGTCTCGACCAGATCAATCCAAGGCCGACTCAATCATCCTGTCCAGCCTCTGTTCAGTCTACATTCGATAATACCAACACTCACATTGCCGCGCCAGCTTCCTGTTTGCCGAAACCTTCACGAGCTCATTCCCATCCTATGCAGACTCGGGCTAAATCGGGAATTCACAAGCCCAAACAGATTTTTGATTTACTGGCCACAACCTCTACATTG